CGCCCCTTCCGAAGGCAGAGCGCCTGCCTCTACCGGGGCGCAGCGCAGCCCTGACGGCGCCGCCTGAGCAGCTACTGCGGCCATGTGGACCTTCCTGGGCATCGCCACGTTCACCTACCTCTACAAGAAGTGCGGCGACTTCGCGAGCCTGGCCGCCAGGGAGCTCCTGCTGGGCGCGCTCGTCTTCCTGTCTCTCGGCCTGCTGCTGTCCTACCGCTGCCGGCCCCGGAGCGGCTCCCAGGCCGCCTTCTTCTCCGACGTCCTCTCGGGTCTGCCGGTCATCGGCTTCTTCTGGGCCAAGTCACCGCCTGGGTCCGAAAGGAGAAAGCAGCTGGAGTCCAGGAGGGTAGGCGGCTTCAAAGTGGGCCAATGAATGAGTGTGTCACGTTAAAATCAGGGCCGTCCTCACTCGAGGGCTTTGTTTTTTTAAGGGCGAAATTACCAGTTTACATACTCGAGTGTAAACCCCCATTTGGTCGAAATAATTTTTGAAGCTCTGGACTGTGCCTTGGCTACCCACTATGAGGAAAGATTAAAAACATTTAGTTTCTTTTAGTGTTGACTGCGCCTCATACAAGGGTTGGAATGGGTGTGACTGGGAGAGGTGAAACGAAACTTTAGAACTTCATTTTGGAGGACAGAATCACGTTCCCTAGTAGAAAATGGTTTTTAATTTAAGTCCTTGGGTCAGGGTTGCACGTTTGTGTCTGGGATGAAAGAAGGTGAGTCCTGCTTCTAAGAAGTAACAGGTAGTCGGGAAGAGTGACAGTCTGAAAAGCAGCAAAAGTGCTCAACATTTTAAAACCTCGGGCAAAAAACCCTCCTCCCAGTCACACCGGAGTAGAGTGTTGGTATAGTGGTGTCCTCGGTCAGGCGACTCCCGGGTGATGTGGGCAGGGTGGTGATGTGAAGTTAGAAGCGAGTGGAGGGCCATGATCGGAAATGTGAGGGAGAGAAATCAAGGAGACCAGATCGCTAGGAGCTGGTGGACGTGTGTGTTTGGACTTATACCCAAGAGCAGTGGAGACTTCAAGTGTGCTTGGCTTTCCCATTGTAGAAAGAACATCCCCTTTGCTGTAATGGAGAATGCGTTGGGATGCAAAAATGGAGGCAAGGATGTCAGGCAGGAGACTGCAGCCCAGCACCAAGCAAGGGATGAACGAATGCCCACAGAGTGCCTGCCGTTCTGGAGCGATGTCATTGTGGTGCATCCACAGTGCAGCTCAGCGAGGGTTGTTTGTGGTTTAGAATTTGTGCTCTACCACTTGGGCTGTGAGACTGACAAATTTCTGCAAGAATCACTTACTTTTTCTGTTCGATGGGGTTAGCATCGCTGTTGCCGGTAGTGAGGGATTAAATGATTTCATGTAGTGATTTGCCAAATGCCTGATCCATGACCATCCCGTAAGTAGCTGTGGAACCTGTATTAGTCCAAAGGTACTGTGGCGCTGTTAGGAGCATTTTGAGTAGTGCTGGTCGTTCAGTAGCATGGTGAATGTAGATTGGAGGAGTGGGAAAGAAGGAAGAGGAAACCCTTAGCTCTGTATTTGAAAACTCTGGTGTTTTGTCTGATAAAACTTTCTGAGCACTGCTAGTCCAGGTGGCTGGAAGGCTTGCTGTCCCGTGCTGTGAAGAGAAATTTTGGAGTAAAAAACCTGGGAGCAGTCATTATTAGTTCCATTTTGTGACTGCCTCCCCTTTCTCTCTATTCCTTAGAAACTAGGGAGCGTAGAGTCGTCTATTGAGTAGCAAGTTTTATTCACATTTCCTCTATTGATCTGGCTCCTAAAGACTTGATTTCCTCCAGAGCTCTCCTCCCAGGACTGTGTGTGTGTGTGTGTGTGTGTGTGTGTGTGTGTGTGTGTGTGTGTGCTTCTCTGTGTGTGTGTGTTTAATGGGAAGATTTTGGGACTTGTCTTGTTCCCACAACCATAACTTAAGTATAACCAGTTGTTCTGGCCATTACAACATAATGGTGGGAAGAATAGACTTTACTGTCTCCTGCCTTGGTAAAGGACAGAAAAGTATTTCTCTAAGAGAAATTATAATAACAAATGTACATAAAGATAAAACCATGCTGGGTGGATATTAGAAAACCGATATTAACATTCTAAAGGATTTTAGACTTTGTACCTTCCCTTTTTATCTGAGTTCTTTATTAAGACCTTTAAATGGAATTTATTCCTACCTTAATCATTAAGGTCGGAGAACTCAAGAAAGATGGTTCCTTGCAATTCTGTATCTGATACGGATTGAGAATCCAATGTTGTAAGATTGAATTGTTCATTTTAAAAAACTAACATGCACTTTCATTGCCAGCAGACAAAGATCTCCCAAAACAACTTTTTCATCTTTTGTGACCAAAGTAAAAGCCTTTGCTGCCTGTCAGTCCAGTGTGAAGGGTTAGGATTTGTCCTCCTCCCTAAGCTGAGGACTGGCTCTTTGGCTAGGCTTTAAGAGTGTCAGGCTGGGGAAAGGGAGGAGACAATTTAAATATGTGCTTGTATGTTAAGGGGTAGTGTTGAAAACCCTACACCTGGGATGGTCACATCCCAAGGAGCAGTAAGAGTTATTTTATTATTTTATTTTATTTTGTTTAAAGGGGGAAAGGTTTATTTGGCTTACAGTTTCCATACAGTTTATGTGACCTATGGTTTTCAGTACGTAATTGGCTGGCCTCCAGGCAGGGTGGTAGAGGGTCAACAGTTCACAGCGGACACAGTAGCAAAGCAGTCAGGACTCTTATAATTTTATAGATTTAAGTAATCCTCAGCTAATAAATATGTATCCAGGATTTGACAGTCTTTATGTTATATCTCACTGATTTTAGATAGTGAAAATCCAGGAGAAAATTTATGGTGACTTTCTTTAGGAATACGTAAAAGGTATTAAATAGTATAGCATGATGTAAAATTAGAAGTTGTAAGATATTTATATCTGGTAGATACTCAGTATGTCTTTGAAGCACTGAGTAATTAATGATAGAATTTGCCTTGAGTCCCTTATATATATTTATTTGGCCTGGTGTACATTTCTAAATATGTTTGTATAATAGCATTTTCTAAGTACCATGTTTGGAAAAAGTAATATATTTAATTTTATTGGGATAATATACATTTTTATTTAATCAGTTCTGTGATATTGATTTTTACATAGGGTTTGGGATTTCAAATATAAGCAGTTCATTTTGTTTAATAATGTTTGGGGGTCAAGCTTTTGCCTAAGATTCAGAAGTCTGGTGCATCTATGTGGTGGTAATATGATTTAAGGCTAACAAATTTGGAAGTAAAATTCCCTTTTTTATTAAACAGCATAGAAAAGGAATCCATTTTTCCGAAACAACCTTAACAGGAGCAGCTACCTCCATCTCCACGTTTTCTCTGAGTGACCCAGAAGTTATCATTGTGGGATCTGGTGTACTTGGCTCTGCTCTGGCAGCAGTGCTTTCCAGAGATGGAAGAAAGGTGACAGTAATCGAGAGAGATTTAAAAGAGCCTGACAGAATAGTTGGAGAATTTCTGCAGCCTGGCGGTTACTGTGTTCTTAAAGACCTCGGTCTTGGAGGTAAGTTCATATTGATTTCCGGAGAGTTCTGTCATCAGCAGGTATCTTCATTTAGACTTTGCTGGCTAGTGAAAAGGTTTTCCAGTGTATATTTACTTCCAAAGTTTAGAATACTCATTTATCAACAAATTTGCACGACTATGGGAACAAAGGAGAAAATAAGCATTTTGTAGTATGAAGAGATAGGAAGTAGACTTCATAAGATATAATGAAATATCTAAAAAAATTGTAATGGTCAAAATTGAGGACTGGAAAGGTTCCTAGAATGAAGACATGAATTTTAGTGAAATGTAAAGGGAACTTCATTTGAAGAATGTGTATTACATACGTGTTATAGTACTTTTATTAAGTCATCGTTCATCTGTTTCGCCATGCCTCTTAAGCACCAGCTATGTTCATTGAGGAAATATTTATTTACTATTTTTGCATGAGGTGCTGTACTGGGTGCCAGGGATACACTGGTGTATAAGACAGGTAAACTGTCTATTCTCAAGGAACAGAGTACACAATACAGCCAGCCTGGAAGGTGAGAAACTACTTGCTTGGTGTTTGTGGTGGGAGATATGTTGCATTGATTAAAAGCATTGATTCTGGAACTAGATTGGCTGGATTTGAATACCTGCTCTGGCCCTTAAAAGCTGTATGACCTAAGTAACCAGCTTTAGCTGAAGTAACTTAACTGCCTGTGTATTAGTTCCCTCTCTTTTTAAATAGTTTATCGAGTGCCTCTGCTTCATTGTTACTATGAGGATTAAGTGAATTCATGTACATAAGGCACTCAGAATAGTGCTTGGCATGTTGGAGGCACCGTGGGTGTATTTTGTATTTTTTTTAGGCACTGGAAAGGAGACCCCTATAGTTAGAAAGGAGTGAATGAAGAAAAAACAGTGGCATGAAATTAAGGTTGCAAGGTAGGGAGCAGCCAGATACTCCTGTGGGCTTTGCAGTGCAGTTGGAGAGTAACGTGATCTTGTTTTGCATCCACAGTATTGATTTCAAGCCTTCATAGCTACTCTGAATAGCACATTAAATCCATATATACTTCAGGCTGACTGCATTTTCCACCCTTTTGGGGGCTTCTGGGGTCTCGCGTGGTGATGGCTTTACAGACTGCAATCCAAAGCCCACTTCATTAAAGTGCCGACATTGCAGTTAGACCTGAGTGCTGAGGTTTTAGTTCAGAAAGAATAACTCCTACGTTAGCATCTTTGTCTTCAAAGAAAAACAGAGTAACACGGTGCCATGGATTTGCATGCTAAGTGCATGCTCTGCTACAGAGCTATATATGTTACCAACCCTGACATTTGTTTTGCATTTTATCTGCTTGTTTGCTTTCACCTGATGATACAATTCCGAACTCCTTTCGCAGTGGACCACTGGTCACACCCTGCCATCTCATCTGTAGGACGCTGCTCTGCAGTGTGAGAACAGACTGTGTCTGAGATGCTAGAGAGGGTCGCAAGAGTCGGGCCAGGAGATGCGGGTCATTCGTTTCTAACTCCACACGGTGGATGATGGTGTTTCAGACTAGCATGGCAGCAGAGGATACAGAGAGGTGGACAGATGCATGGTAAAACTAAGGGAAATGTGGCTTCCTCTGCGGTTCGTATCCGGGTGTCCTCCGAGAGTCTCCTGTGTTTGTAGTCAGCGCCATCGGGAGAGGACTGGCCTGCACAAGTGCCCAGGCTGCTTTGCTGTGAGGAGCTGGGCCTGGTGGGAGAGGCAAGTGGCTGGGGTAGTGACTCAAAGGGTGGACCCCTGCCCTTCCCTTGACTCCCTACTTGGTGAATGTGACTAGGTGAGCAGTTACTCTCCTGTGCCACGCCCTTTGGAGCCAGCCTCTATGGACTGAAATGTGAGCCAAAATCAGCCTCTCCTTTCAGTTTTGGGTGTCAGTTATTGTGTTCCAGCAGTGAGAAAGTGACTAAGACACTTAATAAGGGATTAGTGTGGGGTTTGAAGAATAGGACGCTATCAAAGTGATTCCTAGGTTGTTTTTTTTTTGTGGTATCGGGGATTGAACTCAAGACCTTTTGCTTGCCAGGCAGGCACAACACCACTGAGTCCCCTTCCTAGGTTTTGACCTAGCAGCTGGATGATGGTACTACCATTTGCTGATAAGACCTTCAAGAGGAAAGGGTATGGGAGAAACTAGGGGGAAAGCAGTTTAAAGTGGAGGTATGAAATACAATACGTGACTCAGTTCAGCAAGGAATTGGGGCTGGCCAGCATTCTGTTTCTGAGTTTGACAGGGAAGCGTGTTTGTGGTAGGTAAACGCTGTGACACTGATTGAGTCCATCGAAGGAGAGTGAGAGAAGAAAGAGAACACAGAATAAACTAAGTCCTGGGAAACTCATGCAAAAGAGACTGAGAAGGAAGCAGCAGGATGGTAGAAGAAAGCTGGGACTGTTTGGTGTCACTTAGGCTGAGAGAGATGAGTGTTCTTTTAGGAAAGGGTGGGTCTGCATCTGGAGCGAGCAGCTCAGCAGTAAGTGAGTACAGTAGGTGGGCGCTGTGCTGTGATAGCAACAAGAAAGCAGACTGAAATGACTTGGCAGGTGAAAAACTTGAGAGATCCCTGCTCTTGACTCGGCCGCACACCAGCCTTGGTGGTGTCAGCCCCAGGCCGCTGCTCGGGCCCACTCTGAGACCCACTGTGGCTACGAGTGCTCTCACTCAGGGGATGCTGCCTGGCCTCTACATCTCTGTGGACACAACTGGTTACCTCAGGACAGGACTCTGGCTCATTTTACCCATTTACTTCCTTGCTCATCACTGGGGTGAAGTGGAATTTACAGGCCTGGTAGTTGTACTGTTTGCTTGCTTGCTGGTTTTATGTAGTCCAGGCTGACTTGAACTCACTGTGCAGCCCAGGCCTTGCACTCTCTGTACCCTCCTGCCTCAGCCTCCTGATTGCTGGGATCACAGGTGTGAGCCACCACACCAGGCTGTGATAATTCAGTTTTGCTAAGACATCTGTTGTAATAATTGCACTGATTATAGTTTCCCAGATGGCCTGTAGTCTTACACAGCAGAAGCTGATTTTCATGTCATGGTGTTGTTCTGCATTTAGTGACTGGGCATGTTGACAGAGTCGATTGTTTTGCAGATGCTGTGGATGGTATTGATGCGCAGAGTTTGAATGGCTATGTACTGCACGATCGGGAGAGCAAGTCAGAGGTGCACATCACCTTCCCTCCGGCAGAAGATGGCCAGGCACACAGTGGGAGAGCATTCCACCATGGAAGATTCATCATGAATCTCCGGAAAGCAGCTATGGCAGAGCCCAAGTAAGGCTGCAGCTTCAGACACGTAGTGTGAAAGGGTTAAGTCTGGCCTTCATGTGAATAAGATTTTAGAAATCTTCATGAGATTTTGGGCAATCTAGAAAATGGTATACTAAAGTAACCCTAAGTTAGAAGACTATGTTTGGTGACTCAAGAATTATCATGTATCACTGCCTGCCTCGCAAGCAAAAGGTCCCAAGTTCAATCCCCAGTACCAAAAAAAAAAAAAAAAAAAAAAACCAATTATCAAATAATTTTCTTTTGAATAGCATAGAACCATGGTAAGTTCACCCTTTTTGGGTTTTTTTTTTTTGTTTTGTTTTGTTTTTCTGGTACCGGGGATTGAACTCAGGATCTTGTGCTTGAGAGTGGCAGGTATGGCGCCACTGAGCCAAATCCCTAGCCCTACTTTTGGAATTTAGAGGACATGCTTAACAATAATATCACAAGACTGCCTACTTGGGAGTTTGTGTTTATGGTTGTGATACTTTTTGTAAGAAATCAGGAGAGAGGACTTCAACGAGAAATTCCTGTTTGTTCTCACTGAGGACTGGTGGCAGGACTGGTGGCTTCTCTTGATTAGTGACTTATATTTGCCCTGCAGCTTTTAAGCACTGTAAATAAGGAAATTTTTAGTATAAGAACACTCATGTGATTGACATAGTCTTTAATGTTGATGAAGCAAGTGAAGAATTAAGTGGACTTGTTCTTGAGATGGAAAGTGCTTGATACCCATGAAAGCAGAACATACTCATTGTGTAAAAATGGGAAAATACCCCAAAATATAGAGAGTAAAATTTATCTTGGGTATCCCAACTGGATGTAACTACTTTTAAGAATTTGTTAGATAAACTACAATTTGTTTTCCACCTCTGCATATGAGTATGTGTTGGTAACACTTCTCTGCATGCATTTTATTTTTAATTAATGAAAAATCTGTGACTTTGAAAAAGTTACATTCATAGTATGTGTTCGGTGTAATTACAAAATAGAAATCACACATACTTCTAAAACTCACCAATGTGTGTGTGTTTTTTTTTTTTTTTTTTTTTTTTTTTTTTTGTCAAGCTAGAGCTTATTCTATGCAAGAAGTAAGGAATTCATGTCTAGCTTAAATTGCCCAAATGTGCTCTGTAGAAACTGATTTGTTTCTTTATCCTTCAGTGCAAAATTTATTGAAGGTGTTGTACTACAGTTACTGGAGGAAGATGATGCTGTGATTGGAGTGAAGTACAAAGATAAAGAGACTGGAGATGTCAGGGTGAGGTTTATCATGTCATCTCTTCCCAAGGGAGTATTGTCTTTTTCCAGTGTCCTTTCAGAAAAGTGGGTGCAGTCACTTACTGTTCACCACTGGACTGAGCTCTCCTGTGGCAGGGTGGGCTGCAGACTGTGGCACTTTGTTTAGTGCACCCAAAATGCCGTGCAAAGACTTTTAAAACTAAAATCAGTGTATTAACCATACTCAGAGTTCACACCAGCGGAGAAACGAGGAGGAAGTGGAAGGGGGAAAAAGGAGGGATTCAATATGAAACACATGGTTAACGCCATCTCAGATATAAGGGCCTTCACTTTATGTTTCAGGCATCTCATGAGAACCAGAGCATAGGAGTCAATGACAAGCCAATACAAGCAATTGTTTAAGTCAGGAAGGTAAAAGTAAGAGAATCTGTAAAGTAAATGATTCAGCCTTATTGATTTTTAAAATTTTGTGGTAAAATACACATAACAAATTTTCCCTCTTAATTTTTATGCATCTAGTATGGTCTTGTTGCTGTATACACATTGTTCTAGGTTGAGGGGGAGAATCTCTGGGGAAGCAGAGTGAAATAGTTTCTGGTCTATGCTCTTGTTGACATCCTACTGTGAAAGGGCCAGGGTCCTTCCAAGGCGGCTCTAGTAGGTAGCAGCCCCTCCTAGAAACTGACCTCTAATAGAGGCTTTGCAGTGATTTCTCTGCTTGTAGTATAATAAGTACACATAGCTATTAAACATTTTCTAAGCTCTAGTCTCTGATTAAAAGGCACTGTACAAAGTCAGAAAATTCTAGAATGAATCTGCCTAGTCCATGGCATTGCTAATGAGATTCTGTCTTGTGTTATCCTTGGTTGGTTTATTTTATTATTATTATTTTATTTATTTATTTATTTTGATGCCAGGGATCGAACTTGGGACCTTGTGCTTGAGAGGCAGGTGGCAGAACCACTGAGCTAAATCCCTGGCATATTTTATTATTTTTTTAATTCATTTTTTTGAGACAAGGTCTTACTTTGTAGTTCAGGCTGGGCTGGAACTCACTATATAGCCCAAGCTGGCCATGAACTCGTGGCGATCCTCCTGCCTCAGCCTCCCAAGTGCTGGGACTACAGGGTTGACCACCATGCCTGGCCCTTGCTTGTTTTGTAGTTGTTTCCCTTCTGTCTATGAAAGTGGAGAGTAAGCTCTAATAGGTTTTTTTTCTTGTTTTGGTTCCCCTTCTAAACAGGGTCTCTATGTAGTTTGTGCTGGCCTTGAATTCATTGTGTAGCCCTGGATGGCCTCATACTTACAGTGCTCCCCCGGCCTCAGCCTCCCAAGTGCTGGGATGGCAGGTGTGTTCCACCATGCCTGGCTCCCTGCTGGTTTTCATGGAGGTGCTGTGAAGAGAGATGTTAGGTCACAGAGGACTCTCTCTAGAGATTGGTCACGTGTTACCTTCCACCCACATGGTGTTTCCACTGTTCTCTAATGTTATCCTGTACTGTTTTTAAATCTGCTCATGCACATTTTTAAATAATAGACAATTTACTGTGTATTTTTATCATTTAGTGGAGTATTCTTTATCTGTTATAGGAACTTCATGCTCCATTGACTGTTGTAGCAGATGGGATTTTCTCCAAGTTCAGGAAAAACCTGATCTCCACAGAAGCTTCTGTTTCATCTCATTTTGTTGGCTTCCTTATGAAGGTACTGTAGCAGTACAGCTGTAGAAAAGAAAAAGTAATGTGAAATTTTAAAATCATTAAAATATTTTTCTTTCTTTCTTTTTTTTTTAGAATGCACCACAGTTTAAACCCAATTATGCTGAACTTCTTTTACTTAATCCAAGCCCAGTTCTCATCTACCAGATTTCATCCAATGAAACTCGAGTACTTGTTGACATTCGTGGAGAAAGGCCAAGGAATTTAAGAGAATACATGGCTGAACAAATTTACCCACAAGTACCTGGTAAGAAAGAGGATTTTACTCCTGATTGTAATCTACTCCGGAAAGCAAATCTCACAAAAGCCTCTCCCTCTTGTTTTCCCTGAGCTATGCCTAAAATAAGCCAGTAGTAGTAAACATAGTAGGTAGAAAATGCCTCCTGTCTTGGTTGCTTTTCTCATTGCTGAGACAAAATAACAAAGACCTAAAGTTAAAGGAGGAAATGTTTATTGTAGCTCACAGTTTGTAGAGGTTTCAGTTCACTGGCTCTAAGGCAGTGTGGCATGGCAAAGGGGCATCGCAGAGGAGAAATAGTTTGTGGAAGGCAGAAGGCCACAAAGCAGTGAAATGCTAAAGCAGCAGCAGCCTGCCTCTTTTTTTATCCCTTTCAGGCTACCCACCCTTTGGGTGGGGCCACCTATACCCAAGGTGGGCCTTCTTCCCATTGTCCACATGCAGAGCTATGCCAGACCTATCAATGGACTCATTTAGTAATCACACACCGTTAATCCCAGCATCATACACCCTAGGATCCAGCAGCTTCTGAAAAGCCCCACCTTGACCACTAAGGCCTTGACCACTAAGGCTTTGGGAGGATACTAGATATAAGCTGTAACACCTCTGATCAACCAGATATGCTGGGACTGAAATATTTAAACTAGCAACAATCTCTAAATTAAAATAGTAGTTTCAGTATGTTTCTGTCACAATACTAACTGAAGTATAGTTTTCAGAATAATTAACAATATGGCATATATAGTATTTAAGGTAGTCTAGACCATCATCTAAGAATTTTAGATTCTTGCAATAGCTCATGCTTCACTACTTTTGTGTTTGGTTCTCACAGTAGTGATATCTGCCAGTTGCTGCATGTCTGCTATAGAGAGCTGTGTTGGTTTTTTTTTTTTTTGGTACTGGGGGTTGAACTCAGTACCTTGTGCTTATAAGGCAGGTTCTGTGCCTCAGAGCTAAATCCCTGGCCCAGTAGAAAGCTGTTTTACAAACATTACTTCTTTTCATGTGGGCAGCCACCCTAGGAGGGAGGTAGTCTCATCCTCCAGTTTTATAGATAAGAGAGCTAAGGTTTGGAGAGATTACTTGGCCTTTCCAAAGATAAACTACAGATTAACTAGGCCCCCCCACAATGCTTGGTTTTAGAGATATTTGTTTTAAAACTGTTCAGAATTTTGGAATATTTGCATTGATTTAAACTGGTTGAGCATCCCTAACCCAGAAAACAAATCTGAAACGCTCCCAAATCCAAACTTTCTGAATGTCATGTCAGCACTCAAAGAACTTTGGATGGTACCAGGTTTTCAAGTCTTCTTTTTGAGAATGGAAAGAAGTGGGAGAGAAATTACCAAGAATTTGACAAAGAAAAAGGGGGGTGGCTAGCATTGTAGCTCAGAGGTAGTGTGTGCTTTTAGCACATATAAGGGCCTGGTTTGATTCTCAGGTTGTTTTTTATTTTTAAATAGAAGGGAAGCCCTAGTTAGCAGTTATGAGTACAGTAATAGAAACTAATTCTGAGTGCATTTTCAACCAAAATTCTGGATTATTTTTAAAGTTACTTAATTGAGATACTAACAAAAATAAAGTGAAACAAAGTGGGCACACTAGATTTTTAATAATGACATTTTTCAACATATGACTATGAAAACACTTCAGTGAATTTTCACTCAGTTAAGCCACTTTTGAAGCTGTCAGAAGGGAAAAGTAATTATACATATTTAGGAAAAGGTAAGTCATTTTTAGCATATATAATTACATATATATTTATATGGTTTTTACTGTCAGTTTATTATTTTTTTCCAATCCAGATGTGACTGGAGCAGGCTGACCTGAAATCATCGAAATTGTCTATAGGTCCATATCCATATTGGTTAGGGTCCCCAGATTCTGCTGCTTGCATGAATGGAGCAGTTTCAACATAGGCATGTCCTCCTCCGTTCTTATCCTGGGAGTTGTATCATCACAGTCACTTTCTATATAAGTAGAAGCACAAAATTTAAAATTGGATACTTCAGAGATGAGCTGATCTGAGAATTTCATTTTATAGAAAAGAAACTACAGCTCAGTGACGCAGAGATATGGCCTGTGCCTCCACCCAAATCCACTTCTTTTTCTAGGACACACCTCCTGCTCTTTGTGAATTGGTGGTGTCTTTCATCTCTTATTATCAGAGTATGTTGGTTGCAGTAAATTAAATTTTGCCAGTTGCCATTTAACATTTGGAAGAGCTGGGTGGCTTTCTCTTCGTCACATCTCACATAAATTATCTCAGCCTTCCTTTAATTTCTTTGTTCATTCAGCTGTGTACTTGTTTATTTCTACTAATTTTTCTTAGATTACTTAGTCATTCCTTAGCACGAATAACTGGGTGCTTAATACTGTCATTAATAACTAACTCTAGATTTATCGCAAAGGATGTATGTGTAGTAGCTGTTTGCTTATACTTGATAAGAAAATGTGAAATTTTGAAGTTGAAATGTTGTGAATAACATATTTGGGTGGATGGGATTTATTGCAGATCACCTGAAAGAACTGTTCCTAGAAGCCTCTCAGAATTCTCTTCTGAGGTCGATGCCAGCAACCTTCCTTCCTTCTTCACCAGTAAATAAACGAGGTATTATCCTATTGGACTGACTTTATAAAATCCAAAGTACATGAGCTTAAAATAATACTGAAGGGAATAACATGAGAAAGAATTGGTTAGTATGGACTGGCACCTTACTCATACAAAATTTAACTTTATAATCTGTTTAGTTATTATTTAGTGTTAACTTGGTGTCAGTCATCGGAGACACAACAGAGAAGGAAACACTCATTAGGGATGTAGAGGCTAACTTTGTAGCCAGTGCTGAGGTTTGTAAGAACAGCTCCTCCACGGTGCTGCCATCTGTGAGAAGAGGGTGCAGGAAGGAGGGGAGATGTGAGGTGGAGGTTGTGGGGGCCTTCATTCAGAAGTTAAGCCTGTGTTTTAGGCTTAGTGGGAGATCATTAGAGGGTAGTGAGGAAAGACTCATGTGGATGGAATCGCATCTGCAGGGGCCCCCAGGAGGCTGAGACATGGTGGCATTTTTAAGGAATTCAGAACTCAAGTGTTTCCTATGGTTAGTTTTTTGGTGAGGCTATTTAATTTTTCCATAAGTGATGGTAAAAGGCCTAACTGGGACTGAAATGGAGAGTAAGGAATGGATTTGGGTAAAGTCTAGGATGTAGAATGTGTGACACTTGGCACTCTAGTAAGAGAGTGAGGCGTATTGATAGATTATAGGTAGTTTTGCCAGCTGCTTGCTGCCACAGGAATAGGAAAAAGCATGAAGTTTCACAATACATGGAGAGAGCTGATGAGGTCACTTTGGACATTTGGGCGTAAAACATCAGCAGGGTGTGTGAGTGGAAACAGAGCAGGTCCAAATGGGGCTTCTGGGTGTGAAGAGATGGTAGTGTCCATAGAAACAGGCATAGCGAATGGCTGGCCATGGAAACCAACTGTGGTGCCAGAGTAGAATGGAGCTGATGCCAAGCTAGAGTAAGCACTATGCTGTGGGACTATATTCTAATTGGTGGGTTTGAGAATACTACATGAAGCAGAGGCATACAAATTTGGCTTTTGATTGGAAGTATTATAGTAATACTTATTGAAATAACATTTAGAAGCTACCTTTTTATATATTAATATCATGATATATTCTAAAATAAGTTATAAATGTAATTAAGATTGTGACTGTCAGGAAAGAATTTTCCATAATTGTGTTGACTTGACATTATCATTGTCTGTTTCTCGCAGAGATCAAATTAAATCAATACTTGTAAGCACCAGACTGCCCTTGGAGGCAAACTGTGGGCTTTTCATTTCTGTAGTTTCCATACAAGTGGTTAAAGTGTGAACAAAGTCTAATCTCTGATGACTAAGGATGTTTTGTCTTCTGTTGAACAACATTATTAGGTGTCATTTCTGAGAGCTACTTTCTTTCCTTCACATTGCAAGAACAGACATTTCTCTGTACTGCACTGGCAGCTAGTGCTAGAGACATTTGATTTGCTTCCCTCTTGTAGGAGACTTTATGTCTGATGCTCATAAATCCTTTTTATTTTGAAAAAGAAGAAATGTGTTGACATTAGATTTGTATGTGAGTTTCATAAGGGCAGAGATCATGGTGCTGTTCTCATGATCTCCTTAGTGCCTGGCATGTATTAAGTACCAAACAAAGACGGACGGGATCAACTCTTGATTTGCCCACCAAGTGTGAGTCATTATTCATTCCCTCATATTTTCACGTTCTTAGTATTTACCAGCTTACATTAATAATGTAAAAATAAGAATAATCTTTTCTCTTTTCTCAGGAAACTGGCATGGGACGTTGTAACCGTGTCATCTTTCCGCAGGTGTTCTTCTTTTGGGGGATGCATACAACGTGAGGCACCCGCTCACCGGCGGCGGAATGACTGTTGCTCTGAAAGATGTGAAGCTGTGGAGAAAACTGCTGGCGGGCATCCCTGACCTTTATGAGGATGTGGCTGTTTCACAGGTAAGCTATTGGATAATTCATATACAAACAGTTTCTGTCCTGTTTATTCTCCTGGGGCTAAGAGTGATAGGGCCTGGGTGGGGAAATCTGTACAGGGAGCCTGGGCCTCGTCATTCAGCAGAAGTCTTGCTCAAGCTTAATGGACCTGAATTGTGAACTGTGAATCTCACAGAATTCCTGAATTTCTGAATGGTAACAACAAAACTGGGCTCCACAGGACAGCATGCTCACAGAGGTTGTAATCTAGCATTAAGAGTCATGTAATTCATTGCTCTGAACGTGAATTTTTGGCAAACAACAAACAAGGCAATATTAGTTGCTGATAGTGCTTAGGATAAAAAATACCAATTTGACGAGATTATGAATAGTTTGTGTTTCCCCCCCTTACTATGTAATAAGTGATCTTTTTCATTTTTAGGCTAAAAAATCATTCTATTGGTCCAGAAAAAATTCTCATTCTTTTGTTGTGAATGTCCTTGCTCAGGCTCTTTATGAATTATTTTCTGCTAGAGATGGTAAGTATAGATATTTTTTAATGGACAATATTGAAGAATTTTAGCATAGCAAATTAACTAATTACAAAGGTTATTAATTTGTCCAGAAATCAGTGTTACTCTATTTTTTCTGTCTGTCTGTCTTTGGCTTTTTGAGACTGGGTCTCACTGTGTGGTTCAGGCCAGCCTTGAACTCACTATGTATCCAGGCTGGCCTTAAATTCATGCCAGTCCTGTCTAGCCTCCCTGGTGCTGGCATTACAGGCCTGCAACACTACATCCAGCTTGGTACCAGTAGTTCTTTTTAATTCTGTCCTGGAGTAAGATTTTTAGTTTGTGATCATTGTGTATTCCATCACTGTCTGAAAGGCTGTTGCCTTCCCTCACACAACATTAATAGTGATGCCTCACTCGTATCCATGGTTCTGAGTTCCTCTGTCCATCCAGACTGGATTGTGCATATACCCTTAAATGTAAGCTTGTGATGGAAGGTTTTTCCTAGCCATGAGGAACAGGCAGTGTGGTCTTTTTCTTCCTGAATACTCGTTTCAATTTCTTTTTTTTTTTAGGGTAATATTTTAGAAAATATGAACTTCAAAACAAGTTTAGAGTTTCTCTCTTGGTAAAATGCACAAGTAGTATACTATGCTTTACTCATGCGAATTAGTCCCATGCTTTGGTTTTTGTTTCCATATGGTAATGGTCAGTCTAAATGGTTGAGCATTCCTCATGAGGAAATGTGACATTAAAATATTCGTACCTCCTAAGCTCTTTAATGATGGTTGCAAAAGTTGCTACAGTATAAATGCTTTCTGTAGCCTCTGTGACCATGTACTCTGGCTGAAGGAAAGAAAACTCATGATTTGCAAAACAAATCTCTTGCTAAATTGGTGTGGAGCTAAAATGTTTAGTTGGACAAATACAAAGTAAGTTTCTCTTTCTAAGCTTTTCTAAGTTCTTGTATTCTTACTTTATAAATTGGAAGCCACCAACAAAGCAACATTAAAAAATTAATTATTGGCAAAGGAAAGGATTTTATTGGAACAAAAGTTTATCTTTTGCATCTTTAAAAAATCTGTCGTTTAGAAAAATCTAAGCATACCTCAAAAGAACATTAATTCTAAACTGTTACAAAGGTTATTGATTACTAAACTATGTTGGGAGGTTAATGAATTACTTTGAAAAGTTTTTGAAATTTATGCAGATAAGACATTGATAGCTCTTCCTTTGACATTCTCCCTGGAGATATGGATTGGGCATCTCAGGAACTGGTAATTTGATTTCTAGAATTGTGTTTTTTTAATAATAAAAGTTTAAAGTATTTTGCATCATTTAATACATTTACAACAAAGTCAAATAACCTTTAAATGACTCTTACTTTCCAAGGCCTAAATGTTAGCAATCATTTACTAACAGAAGCAAGTTTATTCATATATGTATTACCACCCATAATAATGATTATGGAATTTAAAAGAAATTTTGAATGTTAAAAATCTAGGGCTACATATTTAAAAGTTATCTGTGAGGTTTGGTATTTATTTTTTTCTGACATATCATTAGTACCCCAAGTGTGTTTTTGGTGCGGGGGTTGGTACCAGGGATAGAACTCAGGACCTCATGCTTGTGAGGCAGGTGCCAAATGTGTATTTTGATTGAGAATAATTTTTAAATTTCATTTTAGATTCCTTACATCAGCTAAGAAGAGCCTGTTTTCTTTATTTCAAACTTGGTGGACGGTGTGTTGCTGGTCCTGTTGGATTGCTTTCTGTGTAAGTTGTATTCCAGATTTTCTTAGGCCTCTTCAGTACATGGAAATTTCTCTTCCTTATGCATTTTGCCATCTTATTACCCAGAGTTTCCCAGTCAGAAAGTGTGGCCTCAAGAATGGAAAGAAGACAGTGGTGAACACTGTTTCACACTCAGGAAACAGTGCCTGTTAAGTGGTGGTGGAGGGAGGCTAAAACCCTCCATCAAAACAGAAGCTCGCTTTTCACCTCTGGTTTATCCACGTGGGCTGATCTGTGGGAGCAATGAATAACTGAGAAAGTATAACTTAAACATTAATTTTTCTATTAGTATGTGTTTGCAGTACATGATGTTTACGTTCCTTGTGTGGAGCTGGTTCGTGTCCACAGCACATCATAATTCCTTTTTTAATCCCTTTCCTCCCTACTTCCTTCATGTCTGGATTCCCTTCCCATCTGGGAAAGATCTATCTCCCTGCTTCCTATTACCTTTTATTGTGTTTTTTATACATGCATACCCATGTGTATAGCAGCATAGTCCTAAAAGCTGAATTTTAGAAGCAGCCTATATGACCATCAACAGATGCATGGATAAAGAAAACTATTTGCACACAGTGGAGTACTACTGTGTCATAAAGAAAGATAAACTTGAGCCATTTCTAGGAATATGGATGCACCTTGAGACTATACTGTTAAATGAAATAAATCAGACACTCAAGTTTAAATATAGTGCGGTATCTTACATGAAAAACCCAAATAACAAAAATTAATTTGAAGTATAGAACTTGTGAAATTCAGTATTAATTTTGACAGTGTAGACATATGTAGAACTATTCTTGGGAGGTCTGCAAAGTGAAATTTTTTGAGTCAGTTTTCATTCATCTATAATCTGAATGTCACTATTGACATCTTGTTGAAAAGCCTGGATTCCAGCAGGCTAGGGCATCCATTACTGCAGCCTGGGATCAAGATTAGCGAAAGCTTGGGAGTGAGGGGGAGGGGTCACTGGCTTCTCTGAAAGAGATTGTTCTAAGTAATTTCTTTTTGTTCTTGCTATCAAATGTAACAGGCATACAAGTTTGTAAAGTCTTCTAAAATGTATAACATGTATTGAGCCTTTATAGATGATACATAGTTGGATCCTTTCATGAGTGAATTTTAGTCTCTGGCTCTTACCCAGTGTTTTTCTTCCTCTGTTACAGGTTGTCTCCAGACCCTCTGGTTTTAATCGGACACTTCTTTGCTGTCGCAGCCTATGCCATGTACTTTTGCTTTAAATCAGAACCTTGGATTACAAAACCCCGAGCCCTTCTTAGCAGTGGTGCTGTAGTTTACAAAGCTTGTGCTGTCATAGTTCCTCTGATATACTCAGAAATGAAATACTTGGTTCGGAAATGAAATACATGGTTCTGTAAGCTTAAAGGGGACCCCTTGAACTCACAACGTCCTCAGAAGAATGGAAAGTGTATCTAGTGTAGTACTTTACTTCTAAAGTGGAACTCTTGAACCAAGATTGGGATTGCTTTGTTTTTGTTTTTTGTGTTTTTGTATAGAAGCATGTAAATATATGCCTTAATTTACAATTTAAAATGAAGGGTGAAATAAGCTAGATATTTAAAAGAAATGATTGTGGCCATAAATTTGTGCTAACCTGAGGAACTGTGTTTTTGATTTCAGTATTTGGGACAAGTCTTGGGACATCCAAATAAAATGGTGATTCCTCACAGCTTTCTTGTGGGCTTCTTCGAATAGCTGCATGGTAAGGGAAGAAAAACAAAGTGAGATGGAAAGTGCAGAGACCTGTCCGACTTTGGGAAGGGACCTTATCCCAGTCCCTAACCCGTAGGGCAGTCTGTGAAGCTATTTTCTGAATGTTCTGAAAACATCAGACCCTTGAAGGAACAGCAAAGAAAAAGTTTATAAATTCTTTTGTGTGACACCGATAAGCAGGGCCAGCATAATCTCAAGAAACAGTTAACGAACAAATGAGTACTTCCAAGAGATGGCATAATACCTTAAAATCAGAATTTCATTGATGTTTTGTGGTACTCAGATCGCATGCAGTGCCTTCTCACTCACCTACATCCCAGCCCTTTCTTGTGATACAGGGGATCGAATCCAGGACTTTGTGCCCGCCAAGCAAGTGCTCTGCCTCAAGCTACATCCCAGCCCTCATCTCAGCCCTTTTACAATTTTCATTTGAGACAGGTTCTTGCTCAGTCACCCAGGCTGGCCTCCTGCTGCCTCACCTCCCTGAGTGCTGGGGTTACAGGCCTGTGCCCCTGTACCTCTTGCTGAATGAAAGAGAACAGCTCATGGTGATTTACAGAACCAGTCTCGCTAAGTGGCACTGAAGAGGTTACGGAAGCTTCTGTCCTGGCATCATTTAAACCGGAGCAAATCTCTAAATGCCAGGAAAATGAATTGCAATAAAATATAACCTGGAAGGTTCTAACAATTGAGATAAACATGATTTATACACTTAACAATAAAAAGTTATTTGAATTTTTATGTTTTCTGTTTTGCTTGAGAAATATTTCACTGGCCAGCTGATTACAGAACCTGCTTCTGGGTCTGGCGTTTTCAGCAGCTGGTTTTCCCCAGAGGCAACATCACACCTTGTATGTCTGCTGTTAAGTGCTGACAGAAGAATAGCAAGGTGTCCCATGTCCCCCATTTGCTCCATCCCTCTGGCCCAGTGGGTGGTGTGGGGGACTCAGGGGTGGAGCTCCTGCTCAGCCAGTAGGAGGCCTGAGCTCGGTTCCCAGTCCTGAAAATAAGTCTGGTTGTGAGTCTGGTTTTTTTTTGTTGTTGCTTGTTTGTTTTTTGAGACAGTGTCTCACTGTATAGTTGAGACTGACCTGGAACTCACTATGTAGCCCAGGCTGGTCTTGAACTCACAGCAATCCTCCCACCTCAGCCTCCCAAATGCTGGGATTACAGGCGTGTGCCACCATGCCCAGCTTAGTTGTGAGAAGGGACATCTCATCAATACGAAGGTCTGAGGCTTCGCCACCTCTCCACTGACTCCCGGTGGAATCATTCTCAGTGGGACAACGAAAGCCTATAAAGTCACTGTTCTGTTCTCTTCCTTCTCTTTAGTACCTCAGGATATTGACAAAAAGAAACTTTTAAAATCAGAAAATTGAAGGAACCTGGAAAATCACTTGGCCCAAATTTTAAAGATGACCTCAACAGGCTGGCCTGGAGCAATGTTTAGCTATTAGAACCAAAAGTTTGTCCTGACTCTAAACAGTGCTGCTTCCTTGGTATCTTGATAAATGATTGTCCAGCACTTTTAGGCTCTGGGCTTTGTATGTTACTCAGCTTTCCACTGCTTAAATACCTGGGATAATCATCTTAGAAGATTTATTTTGGCTCACGGTGTGAAGGGTTTCAGTCCATGGTCACTTGGACTGATAGCAACAGTACACTGGCAGAGGTCTGCTTACTTTAGGGCAGCTGAGAAGCCAAGGGAGGGACAGGATGGGGCCACAGTCCCAATACTCCCAGGGCAACTCGCAGCGACGTGAATGCCTTCCTGTAAGCCCTGCACCTGAACGTGTGTCCACCACTGTCCAGCACCTCCAACAGGCTAGACACCAAACCCTGAGCACATGGACCCTGCTAGCCACAGGGTCAGAGCAAAACCTTTCTTGCTCTCATCTAAACTATTGATGCCTACATTGCTACTGTGGAACTGCAACTCCCTGTTTGTAGTAATTTTCGTGTAGAAGATTTTGATGGGAGTTAAATGCTTATTAGCAAAAATCTTATGGATATGGTTGTGGGGACTGGGGTGGGTCCCGGCGGAAGAGGGTCTAGAAGGGCAGTGGAAGTAAGGGAGTCCAGCTGCTGGCACCCCAGGTGTGGGACTGAGCAGATGGATACCAAGGAGCTTCAGCAGTGGGCCGCGGACAGGGCAGTCACTACACACACTGCTACCCTGTGCCTACCACCTATGGGGGGGGGCATAGCATGCCAATCTTCCAAGCAAGCTTTGTACATGGTGAATATATGATCCTGGAGACTGAACCCAAGGCCTTCCAACTGAGATACCTCTCCAGCCTTATTTTTACGGATTGAACTCAGGACATTGCGCTTGTGAAGCAGGCGCAGTGCAACTGAGCTAAATCCCCAGTCCCCAGCGATTTTATTTTGAGACAGGTTGGTAAGTTACCTAAACTTGAAATCCTCCTGCTTCAGCCTCCTAAAGTACTGGGATTACAGACATGCATACCATGCCTGGATGAATATCCATTTGAAACAAAACCAAAAAGACAACTCGAGTACTGGCAATACAATTTTACTGAAAATTTGGAGTTGCACAAATAGTTCTTTAGAACACAAAACTAAATGGATTTGTACCTAATCATTACATTCAGCATTTATAAGAGGTTGTACACAAACGTGTTCTGCTTCTACAGGACATCTGCCTACAACACGATGGGACTGGAGATACACCTTCCTCAGACTGTCTGATGTCACCCAGGGCAGAGGGGAAAGTGCAGTTGCGTGAGCAGTCAAGTTTGTTTTCCAAATCGTTTGCGTGATGGTGGGCAGACAAGGCCAATCCTTTCATTGAAGAAGTAGAAGAAAAAAGTTACAGGACTGTTCTGAACTCATCAAAAATGAGATTAGGCACGTGTGCTTCAGCAACCTGGAAATTAAAAGAGCTTAATGATTCATAGTGTTGAGCAAATTCACAATTTTTCATATGCGCGTGAAAACGAAGCTATCATCTGGAGCGAGGTGGGTGCAGGGACAGTGGCTGCTCTCGGCAGCCTAGGCCCTGCACTGCACTTCTAGGCTCTACATGAACAAACGCATGCACGCCCGCTGTCACGCACGGGCATTCTGATCCGACAGCACTGAGGGCCGCTGCAGCTCAGGTCACCGCGAGTCACACGACATCCTTCAGTAACTGAGTGTGAATGCGGGAGACCTGGGTGTCTGGCAAGGGGCGGCGGAACCAGGGGACACTGAGGCCGCGGGGAACAGGGGACATCAGGGGCTGAAGGTGGGCAGCATCCACGACCAGAGTGCAGGTTTTTCTCATTATAAAGAAACCCCTGTTAGAGGAAATTTAGAAAATGCAGATGAGAGAAAAATAAAATCACTGATTTTCATCTTGAGAAAAGGAACACTGATAATTAAATTTGAATTCTTCCCATTTAACACGCAGAACTGGGCTCACGAAATCTCGCGTTGTTCTTTTGCCTCCACCAGGTCAGCGTCCTTGCCCCTATCTCGGCAGGTTTTGCACACACAGCCAGCAGGCAAACTCCCAGCAGAGCAAGTGCTGGGGTCGAGGTAAGGATACAGTCAGTTTTAATTTAAAATAGAGGAAGCTAACCACCCTCCTCGAAGGCCAGGTCAGTTCCGGCTCCCACCGGTAACGCAGGCAGAAAGGGTAACTGCTGCTACTCTGGTCCACGCCCTAGGGTATAAGAGAGCGCGAGCATTTTCCAAGGGCTGATCCCATGAGGATTTCTGCGCCTAAAAACTGCCTGTTAACACCCTTTGGCTACTATTCCCTCTACTAGACTGGTAATCTTTTTCACTGATTTGGAATTGCAAGTGTAAATCATGAAAATCAGTCTTCGTTCTGAGTTTTACTAATTCTTATCTGAGACATCTGACAATTTGTCATTTAATTAGATATCAAATCTTTTCCTTTATAGTTTTTCTACTTTATCCTAAAAACTAGTATTTATCTAAAATTTCTGATGATTTGCTTTGCATTTCACACTGATTATTTACCTATTACTTAGTAAGGAGGATGTGAAGGGACTGATTTGCTATTTTCAACCCCTGGATGAACTAAACGTCCTAGCACTACTGACTGTGACTCCCTTTCTCCCTCAATTTGAGATGTTATTATTCCAAAATATAATTGTATGCTAATTTTACACTCATACCATACTATGTTGATTTTTGTAGTTTTCTAATACCTTTTAATATATGTTTTAAGTAATTTTTTTCTAAAAAGCCCTTTATAACCCAAGTTCTATGAAATTAAAAAACATTTTAAGTTAAAAAATTATCCAAAGCAGACATGGTGGGATATGACTATAATCCCTGGTATGTGGGAGGCTGAGACAGGAGGATGGCAAGTTTGGGGCCCTGTTTCAAAATAAAATTGAAAAGGACTGTAGGTGTATGTGCCTTACATGTGCAAGGTCCTGTGCTCAATCTGGTGACAATACCACCAATCTGAGGCTTTGACTGTAACTACAGTAAATGTATAAAGAAAGAACCGGTATCTATAATATTCAAGTCTCCTCATTCAGAAACATGAACTTTCAAAATTTTAGTTTTTCCCTAAATTTGTCTTTTAGATTTCTTGTAAAAGTTATTCCCAACTCTGTTATATCTTTGTCAATTCTGTCAATGATACCTTTTCCACATTTTTTTATTTATTTTGTAGATTTATTCTGTAATTTTTTCTATTTCCTGAGCTCATTTGTTAAATACCTTTTTACACGATTCTACGAGGTATTCAAGGAAGACAATTACAACAAATATACGGATTTTGTCTTCCCAATATTCACTGTATTTTTTGGATTTCTTTATCTTGCACTTTTCCAACAAAAACTGAAGCAGAAATAGTATCTGCATATCACTTTCATAGTCCCGACTTTAGAAAATATATACCGTCAGGCTGGAGATTTAGCTTAGTGGCACTGCGCCTACCTAGAAAGTACAAGGTCCTCAGTTTGATCCCCAGTATAAAAAAAAAAAATTACATATGTGTGTGTGTGTGTGTGTGTGTGATTTCACTAAGTATGACACTGCTAGTTAAGTTTTAAGAAATTACCTTTGGCTTTTGTTATTTAGAAAAGTATCTTCAATTCCTAGTCTACTCATTTTTTTTAGTAGCAGGTATCTAACTCAGGACCTAGTCTACGCATTTTTTAAAATGTGAAATGACTTCAGAATCTGTTCAAAGTCTTTATATTTTTGCAAAAAGTGGGGCTGCTAATACTGAGTAAGGAAAAAAAGGAATTTCTTGGACAGTAAAAGGCAGTCCCCTCATTTAAGGAAGAAACGACCAGATACAGCTTTCACTGTAGCGTTAACAGATGCTGTGGGCACAGTCATGGTAGAGAGGAAGAACAAAGCAGAGATCATTTCTTTCCCCAACAGTGAGGAATCCCCTCACCTCCCAGTGTCCGGTTCACCTGTCTCCTGAGTGCTGGCAGGAAGAGA